ACATTTCACAATATGCAATAATATAATACTCAATATAATTTTTATATACATTGCTTGTAATTTTTAACGACAATTCAAAATTTGATATTAAAACTATTATCAAATAATCAAGTCAATGTGGGACAGAAACGCCACAAATACTATGATTTCGAAAAAAAAAAAATAAATGCACTTAGGTTTAAAAACAATATTATTAAATTCTGAATAAGTCTTTTAATAATGGAATTTCTTTAATCAAAAATTTTCGACCAGTTCCGAGTAGTTCCGATTGCATTTTTTAAATATCTATTCAATACTATAGTTAAATGTTAATCATTCAAAAAGTCAACTAACAAAGTTCTAACCACACCAGAATTATTTAATATTATTTTTAAAAATTTCCGAAAAATATAGAACTATTAAATTTTATGATTTAAGTTTGACTCTCCCAGAACTATATTTGATCAAATGAAAGATTATAAGAGTAGTTTTGTACGTTTTTAGAGCATATATGAATGAAAGTTCTAAATGGCGAGCGAACTTGCAATTGAAATGTTCATACTACGTTATGCGAAAGTTGAAAATATTATTTTAAAATTTAAAAGTTTTAAAATTTTATTATTTTATATAATAGAATATTATGCAGGTATTCAGGTGTAAAGTATTACGTATTACAAAATGAATTTATGAAAATTATTTTTTCAAATGAAGAAAATAATAATTTTAGAAACGTTACTAAACATAATTAGGAAATTTTATTACGATTTTTCTCATTTTCACTTTTAACAGTTCATAAAATTATTATTAGAAATTAAATTTAAATAAATTTCAAATATTTGTAAATTTAAATAAAAATAACAAAAATATGAAGATATCAAAATTAACTCACTAAATATTTAAGTCTTTAACTGATATTTTCTCGGAAAATGTAAAATATCTAGTAAATGGTTTTAAATTTTTTCAATACATAATTGAATTAGATTGGACAAAACACTGCATTTTAACATAATCACAAGGAAATTACTGTTAAAGTACTAAATTCAGGTAAATAAAATTTATTGAATTGTGAAAAATCCTCTAAAGTCTAAGGTAAAAATTTTCAATATTTTTATTAAAATAAAATGAAACACAGGACAAAGCAACATATTCGAAAAAAAGGATATTTAAACACAAAAATACGATTTTGATAAAAATATTTTCAATTAAAATATAAAAAGAATGTCGAATCTAATTCAATTTCCGTAACATAAAAGATATAAATTTTACATCTATGCCTGAAAAATTATAAAGAGAGATAAATGAACATTTAAAGTTTTAATGCGGCCGACTGAAATTGGAGAAACTCAATTTTTTTAATCTAATATATTTTTATAACAAAAATTTCGATATATGCACTTATGTATATGTATACATGAATAGTTTTACAATACCAATATTCTTAACACATGAAAATATTAAAAATTTCAATTATTATTATATTAAATTTATCTACATTTTCGATTTCATCAAATTATGTAAAATAATTACGCGTTTATTCGAAAATTCAAGAATATTTTAAATAAATTAGAATTTAGTTAATTTATTTAATCACACAATGGTGAAATTTTACATTTTTAACTTTCATAACCAAGTTTGAAATAATAATCAAAATATAGTAATTATAAAAAACTGGTAATCATAACTACCGCTTTCATTAATTGATTTAAAATGAATAAATATACACTTTAATTACCTCCAATTAGATGGGAAATTAATTTTTTCTACCATAATTCTTCTATATTGAAATCATTCGCATTAATCTACGAAAAAAATTTTTTGATCATTTCAACGGATTTCGATCAAATTTTAGAAAATTACAATTTAGAAAAAAAACATACACAATAAAATTTTCTATTTCCTCTAAAAACTACAAAAACTCAAAAAAAAAAATTGCATATATTTTGGCGAAGCTTTTTTCTAAAATATTTATTTATGGTACATAGCTAACAAATTTTTTGATTTTTGCGTTTCGTTTTCAAATCAAAAACGTTATTTTTTTAAATGTGTGTTTTTATTATTTAAAAAAAAAACCAAAATGAAAATAAAAAGGACTTTTCAATTTTTTAGAATACAAACACATTTAATTTGGATTAAAAGTGGCTATTTGGGAAATTTTATTAATTTAAATAGTTTGCAAAATAAAATTAAGTTCATATTGCCTTACAAAATTTTGGAGAGGTTGGTTTTAAAGTTAAAAGGTACATTTAAATTTATAAACATTCACTTTATTTAATGTTAATCTTACAGTTTAGTACAAGTTTTGTAATTTATATACTGACCTTCTGAATATTTTCTTTATTTTCATTTTTTATATTTTCCACGGTCATTTTTTTTCTTAGATTTAATTTTAATTTTTTTTATATCGTTGTATATTTCCTAATAATTTATTTTTTAAATAAAAATTTTTTTACAAAAAAAAAGACAATATAAATTCGAGTTGTTTTCCGAATTGCCTTAAGAATAACACTAAATGAATGGTATTATTTTAAATACAATGAAGCCAGAAGCATATCTGCTCTTTTATTTAAAATAAAATATTTTTATAACATTATCAATTTATATATACATATTAACTATATCATTCAACAGAAATGTAAATTACTTCTGTTGAGGAGAAATGATATTGTACGCTTTCATATACACATACATAATTATATTTAAGATTAAATGCATTCCTGTATACAATTTTCTGCATAAAAAATGAAAACCGCCCTATATATATATATGTATATGAAAACAAATATTATGGAAGTAAAATTTGCGAAGTCCATATTTAAAAGTAAAAGTTGATCAGGGAAACTATAGCATATAAATCGGATTTAACACATAACCGGATTTAAGCACCATAACACTTACTATACACTTTTAAAACACATACACACTTTTAGACCATCTTACTATTATAAAATTGAAATAAAAAATCATAAATAATACTAAAAATTCCTGTTTTTTACATATGTACATCCTTAAAACACACTGAAATTGTGTATTCGTAATAAAATTTAAACAAAAATTTGAGTTCTTCTTATAATTAGTTCAAAAATTCTAGTAAACCAAACAAAGATTTTTGTATATAAAAAATTTTCATTTTTTCGACATCACAAACAGAGCCTCTATTTTATAATTTCACACGAATTACAATAAAAATGCAACAATAAAGAAATTATTAATAAATTTTTACTTTCTTTCAAAATGGTATAATATGCACACACAAAAAAAGAAAAACGAAAATTAAAATATCATTAAAAAGTGGAAAAGAAACAAGTTAAAAATAATAATGAATAATATATAGGGACAATACATACATATGTATAAGTAAATTACAAATAAATTAATCGCCTTCTTGCACTTGAGAATGATTGCCGTTCCAAATTTCTTTTTTTGCTTCTTTTTTGAATAAGATAAAATTTAAAAGTTCGATATACGGCGAATTAAATAAAGATTTAATTAAAAACCCATACTCATTTTTTTTATTTTTTTAATGGACTAAAACATATTATATTTTCATCTTATTGAAGATAAGTTCATTAATAAAGATTTTGATCCCATATTGAAAGGAATTTGTGTTAATGTAGACAGAAAATTTAATGGAAATTTTTTAGTATTTAAATTTTTTACAGTATGCAATTTTTTTATTTACTCGCTACATACTATTTTAATGAGCAATAAAATAGTACCTTGAACAGGAGTGAAAATGATCCATTTGATAAAACAAACAACACTGATTTAAATAAAAGAAATATTTTCGGTTCGGTTATCATAAATTTTGCACTACATAATATGTATGTAAATACGTGCATTTCTTACAGTATAGCTTACAGTCCTAAGGTATTGTCTTCAATTTATGTATAACTGTAACAGAGAATTATTAAACCCTGTGTTACGTGTTTAAATTACCTAATGTACCCAATTCTTCATTTAGAACATTTAAAAGTAAATTGAAAATTATTTCTTAAAAATATTTTTGTAAATAATTAAATAGGTATACCTATTTTTTATCTATATACCTCATAATTAAAAAAAAGTATAAATGTGCCCCTGTACCTGTATACAATTATATTATTATGGTATTTTAAAGGTTGCCAACTTTCTTAAAATTTCTAAAGAAAATTTTCAAATAAAATTCACAAATTTTTATTGCATTACAATAAATCTTAAAATTGCGTTGTTTTTACTGTTCTAAAAAATTCCATTCGTTTACGAGATTGACCATTTTGGTCAAAAATTAATAATAATTGAAAATTACAGTACTTAAAATAAATAAAAATAAAAAATAGTGATAATTTTTTGAATTTCTAAATTTTATAAGGGCCATTAAAATCTTGTCACAGAAATAATTTTTTTATTATATCTTCTGTACCATAACGGACTTTTGAATGTTTAATGGTTTAAATTAAAATTTAAGCAACTGCGAAAAATTCTGTTAAAAATATTTTAAAGTTTTTAAAAATTTCGTACGAAATTATCGGGATACAGAAAATTAAAAAAATACAAGCTCTTTTAAAAGCAGTTTGTTTGAAATCCCTATCTTTTTCGGAACGGAAATTTTTTCGTAAACAAACTTGGACAAGAAAAAATTCATTAAAATCCCCGACACCCACTTCGGAACATAAGTTCTACCGATATTGATGCTCAAACCAACGGTATATGTTGTTTTAAAACTATACGTTTATACGCATATACATATGTGTTATATTTGATTGTTAATATAAATAGAAAAAATTTTTAATTTAAATAAAAATTGAAAATTAACATGAAAAATTCTCTAAATTCTCAAATTTATTTTATATTAATTTACATACTAAAATAATTATTTTATATTTATGCCACAAGATGTCTATAAAATAAATGAGGAATCAATATGGAAATTTGTTGATTATTCTTTCTTTATCCCAACAAACATTAGTAGGAAAATGACAATTTTAAGACAGCACCTAAAAAAAAATGACATGCTAAAATAATAAACACTGAAACTTCTGAAACAGTCGGAATCAAACGTCGCATTAGTATAATATATTGGTAAAAGAAAAAAGTTCCTCAATATAAGTAAATAAAGAAAATAATTAAACTGGACTTTGGAATCAAACATTTATTTTAATACATGTAGGAAAAAGAAATTCATTGTCACATTATAAATTAAATTTACACTACCAAAAATATTTAATATGCCAACAAAATTTTGGGATTATTTTAGTAACAAATTAGGAGAAACAAATTTTGGCAAATAAATGCACAGCTGATTTACATATAACATAAATTTAATAAAAATGATGTAAGTACGTTTGAGAAATAAATATGCAATGACTTTTTTATAATTTAAAATGCATTTTATAAATTTTTTCTTTTGAAATTGTACTAAACTATGTCAGATCATAATTGCAAAATTACAAAGCACATTTGCGTTATATAATGGCTCTTTCTTACAATTTCTAAATTGGTTCATAAAAGTCGAAATTCTATATTTTCATAATATTTTAATTAACGAGGGTTTCTTTTATTTAAAAAAATTAAGTTTCGATTGACACGTTTCTATGGACATAGGTATACCTATATATGTACATATATACAAATATGTGACAGATTATTTAATAAAAATCTTTAATATAAATTTTTCGTAAGGTGATGTAAGCCTTAAAGTTTCTTCAACTTTTTGAAAATAACCCAAAAACAAAAAAATATGTGTACATATACAAGTTTTTAAAATTTTGCATTTCTCTAAAACAAAATATTAACTAAAAAATAGCTGATAAAAAAGCTTAGAACAAACATTAAAAAATATATTATCCAATGTGTCGGCTTGGGTGAGTAGATAGATATCTATATTTATGTATTTACAATTTATTTATTGTTGAATCGATACAAATACCTTACAATTTTAGAATTTGTTTTATTTATATATTCTACGTATACCATGCTAACATTAAAGTAATTTTCACTGCATTTTTAATTCCATCAATGATAAGCTAATAAAGCAAAACCATACCATACTAGGTATTTTGACATTTACTATAGATCAATATCTAGCTGTAATAGCAATTCTAGCTCTAACATTTTTTCTTACTGAAGAAAATTGCATTAAATACACCAATATATTAAATATATATCATTAACATATTCAAACATTGATTATTGTCAAATAATGGTAAACGCTTGCCAAATATTTGTTTTATTAATTTATAAAATGATTTAGAAAAGGTCAAGGCTGATTAGTATTTATCGTTGATGAAATGATTCTGTGCTTTATTTATTCTATATTTAGATAAATAATTTTGTATAAATCACACAGGAATTTTTTTAGAGAAATACATACTTAAATGTAGGTGATTTTCTAAAATACTCGCCTTATACTAAGCAAAATATAACATATATATTATTATATACACATGTGTATGTACCCATATTTAATATTTAAAAAAATGATAATAATTTTTTTAAATATTAAATCAAACAATTTCTTTTTCTTTTTTTTTATCATCCCATTTATAAAAAAATACATAGTAGCTAATGGATTAAATTGATTGTAAATTAAGTGTTCCCGTTTATTTATTTATTAATTTGTGTTATTTTAAAGCTTAAGTAATTTACATTATTCGCATATAGATGTTCTTCATTTATCTTTTATACACAATAGTTATACACACACATTTAATTTTTGTTTTTATTTTCTAATTTCTTGAGTAAACTGATTGATAAGGCGATTGAAGCCATCTAATTGATTCATTTTCTTATACTCAAATCAATTTACTTATAAAAATTGTAAACGAAATTAATTTACATAAAGATTATAATTAGACCAATTATACAATTCATGTGAATCAATCAATTCATTAAAATCATATGAATTTATTTTTTTTAATATAATTTATTATTAACATAATTAATCTTTAACCTATTAAGAGTTAGTGAACTGACGTCATTAAAACATATTTTGTTTTAAGCATCTTTCTTTTTATTTTTCTATTTTTAAAATTTCTCTCAAGTAATATTGGGATTCAATCATTCTTATAAATTTTTTTAAGTAATATATTATACATATATAATATATATAGAATTGTTTATTGTACATGTTTGTTTGTTTGTTTGCTTTATGAATACTAAAATACATACACCTATCTACTTATGTATAAATTGAAAGTTTACTATATTGTATATAAACTGAAGCCAACAAGTTTTTTTATTAATTTATTCTATATTTTTATATTTTAATATAAATAGTTGTATTTATAATAATTCTTATCTCTTAGTTTTTTCATATCTGTCTTATACTAATGTCAAATTTTTCAATGTATAGAATGATAGGGTAGGTCGCCGTATTATTGTTCTTGTATATTAAGTGAGAAGTAGGGAGAACTTATTAAAATATTTACATATTTATGTAAATAGCTTTTATATCTTTAATGAAGAAAAGTTTTTTTTTTTGCTAAATAAAAACAAATGATGTTTTCAGCAGTGTATTTAATGATACAGCACGATTTGGATGTAAAAAATTTCAAATAAATTTTTAAAAAATTAAAAGTTATTGTTATAATTATAAAATAGAATAAATAAATGAATTTTAAATTTGTAATTGAATAATAAATTTCGCGTTTTTACAAAAGATATTTTGTAAAATTTCGTAAGTATTTCAAAGAATCAGTCTTAAGTGGGATATTTCGAATGTATAAAGCTGATTAAAAAGTTGTATGTAAGTGCATAATTACATTATATGAAATTTTAAATTTAATTACCAAATATTTTAAAAAAATTCTTTTGAAACTCTAAATCAAAGTTTGATTTAATTAAGATTTATTAAGGTGAACATTAAAATGTTTTTCGTTTCAAAACTTGTTTACATCTTTATTTTGCATTTTTTGTATCTATATACATACATAAGATACATAGATATATATATATATGTATATATATATATATATATATTTGATTTCACTGAATTAATTTAAAAAGCTTGAACCAATAATTTTTACATTCTTTTTTTATTTTTATTTCTTTATATCTGAATGTACATACGAACATACAATCTAAATGTTTATTTATGTGTTTTGCAATTACAAATTATTTACATAATATGTATGATAAAATTGTGCAAAATAATATATAGTTATGTATATACATATTATTTATTTTCGAAATGCGTAATAAGTAAAATAATTATTGTTTATTTATAATGAACGTAATATTTTATAAAAACACAAATATGTATGTATGTATGTTTATATAAAGCATAGGAAAATGAATTGTAAAGTCAGATATTATGCTGAAAATAAGTATATAAAAACTTCTAGGTCAAATAATTTAAACTTAAAAATAATGCATACATTTGTACATACGACATTCTTCAAAAAAAAAATTAAATTATTTATTTGCCATGATATTGAAAATTTTTAAATTATGTACCTACATATGTATGTATATGAACCCATAAATTTTTAAGTGACCATAAAATCTACATGTTTGTAGTAAGTATATGCATAAGATTTAATTAAGTTGGTCGCATATGACTTTACAACTACATAAAATCCGGTAATAAAAGATCTGACGAGCTATAAAATAAGTCATTTAGCTCCAATTAAACAACAAAAACAAATTTTTAATCCACTTCAATCCAGTCGAAATAAAATCATACATGTCTTCTTTTCTTTTTACTTACTAAAATATTTACATTTTAATCAAATAAATTTAATAACAATTTCCATATGGTATGTGAAACTAATAACTTATCACAGAAAATCTATTTAATTTGTTGCAACTTTCTACAAGTTCACCTAAATTATATAACAAAATTCGTTAAAATAAATGAAAATAATAATTATTGAAATGAAAATAATAATTGTTTATTTTACGAGGTACAGCACTAATTTATTATAAGTAAAATTGAAATTTCAAAATTTCAAGCAAAGGTTAATTTTGAGTTTCATTACAGATTAAGAATTTTGTAATACATAATAAAAACTTTGCAAAGTTCAAATAATTGGTAAGATGTCATAATCAATTTGCTTTTTGAAATTTCTCAAATTTATATTAAAATATTATTATAGGATTTTTTATTGCATTTCAAATTTGTTTTGGACGACTGCCAGTTACGTAAATACTCTTAATTGAAGATTGTTGACAAGGTTTCATTTAATTTCAAAGGATTTTTATTGATGTGTATTTTAAAATGTGTTATAATTTCTATAATTTGCGAGTACATTCGCAGATTAAATTGTTCATATTTTTTTTAATTATATCACCTTGCTTTTACTTAAAAAAACAGTTGACTGAATAAATAAATATTATAATTATTTTATATGTTTAATTTATTAGTGTACTTTATTTTGTAACAATAGAATTATACGCTTTAAATTAATCAAAGAAACAATTTCCAAACAAAGTTAGGAAAATTATTATGTTATCTTTTTCGTATTTATTTATACAGCAACATTCAAATCACCGGCTAAAACTGTTTTTGTATTTGTTTCCTTTATTTATATATTATATTTTTACAAAATAGTAGATAACACTCAGGATTTAATAATACACGGTAAACAAAAATTTACTTTTTATATACAGCGTGTACTAGAATATTATCAACTTACAATATTTTTATTTTATTATCAAATTAAGCGAAACATTTTTTTATTTTGTATTTAACAAATACTTTAATTTATCTTTCAATTTAATTATTTAACAGAGATTTCATTTATGTTGAAGCATTTTTAAGAAAAAGTAATGAAAGTTTTACAGGAATTTGTTCAAATGAAATTTATTTATTCACTTGTTAAAAAGAACAATTTTTGAAATACGAGTATGTAATGTTTTCCACTGCCCATCATTAATGAAATTCAGACTAAACCATACTTAATATAAAATAATGAAGATATTATATTAATTGATATTGCGTAATTATATTGAAATTTTGGTGTAAATAAACACCCTGTGTATAATCCTGCTATCAATTACATTATCAAAATAATGAAATAAATATTATGTTTTCCAATGGCACTAATCAATTATTTTATTGAAAAAAAATATTGAAAATCACTTCTTGTTTGATATTTTTCATTTTTAATACATATTCCTTTATTTTTATTTATTATTGCAAATTTATCAAAAAAAAAATAATTTTACTTTATTTTACTTGTATTTGTAGATCTTCATAATGAGTCTCATTGAGAAACCAAATTTAACTATGGCTTTGACAGCTACAACTTCACAAAATCAAAATACAATTAATTCAAATTTAAATAATGAAAATTACGCCACCGTTCTACAAAACAAAGAAAACGAAACAAAAATAACTGGTATATATTTTTGATAATTTGTATTTCATTATTAATTATGACTTGTGTAATTTGCAGAAGAACATAATAAAACGAACAACATAGAAAATGTTATGATTAGTCTGATAGCTGGAGCAACAGCTGGTGCCTTAGCAAAAACTACCATTGCTCCTTTAGATAGAACGAAAATAAATTTTCAGATAAAGTAAATGAAGTACACAATTGTAATTTTAAATATTTTAAAAAAAAAACAAAATTATAAAAAAGGTCACCAATTGAAGACAGTAAAAATAAAGTTTTTATCATCTTTCAGCAAAAATATACCTTATTCTTTTGGAGCGGCCTTGGGATTTATTAGGAACACTTATGAAAAAGAAGGATTTCTTTCTCTTTGGCGTGGAAATTCTGCAACAATGGCTAGGATAATTCCATATGCAGCGATTCAATTTGCAGCACATGAACAATGGAAAAGAATTTTAAAAGTTGATCAAGAAAAAGAGTATGTAAAAATCTTTTCTTTTTAAAGAATTTGGTAATTAATATGTTTTATAATTACTAGAACAAAAATTAGGCGCTTTGTAGCAGGATCATTAGCTGGTATTACGTCACAATCTCTCACGTACCCATTAGATTTGGCAAGAGCAAGAATGGCTGTTACAGATAAATACTCGGGTTATAAGTATGTATGATATATTTTGTTTTTTTATGTATTGATAACCAAAGAAATTTATTTCCTGAAAATTTGTAGAACATTAAGACAAGTTTTTCTAAAAATCTGGGTTGAAGAAGGACCTAGAACTTTATATAGAGGATATTTTGCTACAATTTTAGGTGTAATTCCGTATGCTGGCGCGTCGTTTTTTACTTACGAAACTCTTAAAAGGAAGTATTTTGGTAAGATTTTTCACTCAGGAATTTGTTGTACTAGAATAAAAAAATAAATGTTTTATATACATTTTTATAAATTAATATACACATTATATTTAGCTATTTTGTTAAACTATCAGAATTTATACAAACATAATAACAAATTTTGTATAACACAGTGATATTTGATTTGACTAAATGAGAGACTAAAAAGTGCTTTTGTTTTACCAAAACGTAGATTCTTATGTTCATAAAAGTTGATCTAAATAATGATAAAATGATAATATTACTCATAACGTTGTAAACAATTGTGTATCATTAATCATTGACATAAAGTTTACATAAAAAATATTTCAATGAGCTTTTTTTGTATTTTTCAGAATTGACTGACACTACAAAACTTTCAATGGTAATGTCTTTAATTTGTGGAGCTTGTTCCGGTGTGGTTGGTCAAACTGCATCTTATCCTTTAGACATTGTACGAAGACGTATGCAAACAATGGGTGTTCGTAAAGATACTGGCCAATATAACACAATACTCTCCACATTAAAAAAAATCTATAGGTAAGTCACAATTTTTAAAATTCTAAAACTAAGAAATTATGGCATATGCTTTAGTTTACTATTATTGTATTAAATACTTTTGTATTAAAAAATATTTATTTTAGGGAGGAAGGTTTAAAGAATGGATTTTTCAAAGGGCTAAGTATGAATTGGATCAAAGGTCCTATAGCTGTTGGTATTAGTTTCTCAACATATGATTCTATCAAAGAATTTATAAGAGAGTTGCATCAATATAAACGTGGAAGGTATTCATGATCAAATTTCGTATAGCGGAAAATATTAATTGTGAATTTATAGGAATAATTCATAGGAGTTTAAAGTATTGGGTAACCAATAAATTGAAGAATTGTGTAATTAAAAATAATATATTTGTTAAATAGTTTTCAACTGACTTTCCACTTATACTCTAAAAGTATAAATATTGTCAATTTTCGTTAAAATTTTAAGATAATTATAGATGTTAATAAAAACGATTCTTACTATTCAGCGCACTATTGGAAAGACAATAATAATAAGTCAAAATAAATTATTGAAATTTCATTTTCTATTGTAAATTAAAAAAATTGACTTGACTTTCTAAATATAATATGGTATTTTTATAATAAAACATACTTTTAGAAAAAAATATTTGGGAATTAAGTATTTAAGCTGTGTAATTTTGTTATGTGTATTTTGTGCCATTTTTATAAATATAAAACCCAAAAACTTATAAGTATCAATGTTATATTATTTTTCAATTGAAAATTAATTTTACATCTTTAATTTGGAAGACTAGACATGCTTATAGAATATAAAAAATTGAGAACTTAAACAGAATACGTAGTTTCCAAAAAAAAGAAACATAGATTTCAAATAGAAATTCAAATAATATAAAGTTTATACTTAAGTATGCAATAATATGCAATTAATGAAACAGAGTTTATTGACCGATTGATAAAAATATAAGTTAGAAAATTCTTACCTTGAATTCCCTTAAGCTTCAGATTATAATCAATCAACCATATATAGATATTAGGTAATAGGTATTTTATTATAGTTAACGTTATTTAGACTATTTAAGCACTTCCATTTTCATATTCTTGGCAATTTGGTAAAAGTGCATAATATAGGCATGCTAAAATATACATGTAAGGCGGGTACGTTGGTTTCTTGCGAAGAAACCTATGTTTTTAATGTGTAAATGTTTTTACCAGCCTGAATATTAAGAAAAAAATAAAACACAGAACACAAATTTTCAATGTCTCTTAACCGTAATCTTCTTTATCACATTTTTAACTCACATCTCAGCTAAATTTTTGTATATAAGAAATGTAAAACGCGATTTATTTTCATAAATTGCAGAAATACATTAAATATTATAAATATTTATTAAAACTCAAAAAAACCACTCGCTAAAGAAATTATATTATGTAGTTGTTTCTACGGATAACGCTAAATCATGGCGCTCACCTCAACATCTTTGAGCTCGTAATTTATATGAGTATATTACCTATGGTATGTACTTTCTAAAATGTTGCTAGACAACATAAAAAGGTCTTGGATCAAATCTCTCACACGGTACGCTTTTTTCAATGCGGAAGCTTGCTTACTTTTTATTAAAGCAAAAACTTAAGCCATTATAATATAACAGAACGTAACTTACAATCATGACTTGTTATGCATCATTTATTCATTTGTGAAAAACAAGTACAACGAAAAAAAAAAATTTTTAGAAAACAGTTCCAAATTTATTTAAATTTAGCGTAGGAACACATAATAATATTCAACTTAGATTTTCATTCTAAGTTAATTATTTAAATATTTTAATACATATTATTTCCTTTTGACTTATTGAGAAGATATGGCAATCAGGTAAATAACTGTCATTAGTGGAGCATGACATAAGTGGGAAATAGACCAGGAGTTATTTCGCCTATGTTACATTTAGTTTTTAAGTTCTATGGACATGTCATGCGGCTATGAATTTTTAATTTCCATGTGCGTTTTTATCATAAATTGTATAACCAAAGCGGTAAACAGCAACGGCTATTAGATAAATTTTACAGTTTTTACACATAATGTCACACACATTTGGAAATAAAAAAATTAAAAAAAAAACGGTTATATAAAAATTTATGATATTTCTTCTTCAACTTCTTTCTCTAGATCAACTTCTTTTTCTAGATGCCAAATTACGGGCATTTGTCAAATTAATTAATTAAATAATTAAAAGTTATTTGAGATAAAAAAAAATTGTTTGCAATACATCAAACTTTTTATTACTTAAAATATGTTTTTTTTTTTCAAAATCAAAAATTGTAAGTTGTTTCAGACTTTTCTATAAATTTTTAAAATGTTAAAAATGATATGTAAACATTCGATATGTAATCGTGCTCGACATCGAAAAATTTTATTTCTTCGTCAAAAAAATAAAGGAAAAAACAAAAGAAAAATATTGAAGTTGATTTAGATTGACGAATTAAATTCATCGGATATCTAAAAGGTATTTATTTATAAAAACAAATTAACAATATATCTGTTCACCATATTAAGTTTTTATATAAGTATTAAGTTTTTATATAAGTATATAAGTTTTTATATAAGTTTTTATTAAGCATTAAAATATTTAATAAAATATTTAATGGTCACTTTGATAAAATGTAACGTGACACTTTTTAAAATACAAAAAACGTCAAATTTTATTGCATGTTATCAATGACAACATTTTCGCAATCACATTCTGGAAAAAAATTAATTGCAATATATAATTTTGGGCGTTTTTGTTTTTAAGCCTAAATTTTTATATCTGTCACATATAATAAGAGGATAAAGAAAATTATCATTACATAACGAATCTCTTCATATAAATCTCGAAGTTAGTTTTAAAATAATTGGATGAAAAAATAATAGAGTTATTTTTTGACAATGTGTATTTGACAGTGTATTTGACATTTGACAAAGTGTCATCAAAAGTGGCATAATTTATCAAAAAATTAAATAAGCACTTTCCGTAAAAAAAGGCATTCAAACGACAATAACCTTATTATTATATTTTTGCTAACTTAAAACCGATTAAAAAATGTAATTCGGTCTCGTGACGAGATTTATTTCAAATTTTTAGACAACAAACAAAGTGTCAGAGTAGATATGCTCTTTTCCATGTTATCAATTGTATAAACTAAAGAATACATGTTCAATACAAAAAATAAAAATTTAATTTAAAAGTTTGACTCTTTTGATTTTGTATATGACACAATTAAATGAAATAAACTTGAATTCAGTTCCTATCTATAGTAGATAAATAAAATAATGACGTTTAGTTAAGTATATTGTGAATTAACAGAGTTTATTTTTTAATGGCGGTGTGAGTGCGACGGAATTAAACTAGAAGAAAAGGAAAATTTTAATATACAAAATATTTAAAGTGTTTTTTGCAACTTAAATTATAAAAATATATAATTATAAGTGATAAACGCTTGTAATAATAAAACCAAAGTGTGATAAATAAAATTATTTTAGAAAATATTTGGCAACAAAAATTTATTGGTAAGAAAAAAAAATCATACCTATAAAATTTTTTTTTGGAGTGATATGGAAAAAAATGAATACATATATATACATATTACATACATAAGTACGTAATATTCTAATCATAAATATGCATATACATATGTACATCAATATATATAAATGTATAAAATTAGAATTAAAATATTTAAGAAAAAATTAAAAAGATTTCCTTTATACTTTCAATATGTAGTAAGGTTTTATTGTACAATATTGAAGCATTTTTTCTGTTTTCCAATTTGGCAGAAAAATTATAATGCTTAAATTAACTATGTAGGGAACCTATGTACATATTTAATTAAAGTTGTGCAGATAAATGTAATGGATTGAAAAAAAAAAATGTTTTCCAGACTAAGTTGCTGTATATATGTATCTAAAAAAGTATCTATTCAAGTGCAATTTTATGGGGGTGGATATCAATATAATTTTATATGTTTCTGGATATTACATATATGTGTAATGTTTTTATGATTAATATTGGATATATCAATATTATACATATATGTTCATATATAATTTATATGCATATATAAATATATGTAATTTTCCAGAACTAGTATATGTACATAACATACATATATGTAAGCATTATTTATTACTATATATTTGTAAAAGAAAAGTGTTCAAATCTCGCACTTAATATCTAGGAAAAACTTATACAATCATATACGAGTATGTAGGTATACCTACAAAATAAAAGCTACAGGTCTTTTGATATTAGCACTAAAAAGGTTGATAGGTAGGTAGGTACCTACCTGAAAGGTAAAAATAATTTAAGTTATGCGCATTTGATGCTTGAAAACTGCTATTTTTAGTACATATTTGTTACATGTTTTCTGGTTTTCATGAAATTGCCTAGCAGATATTTAAATGAATTTTCAAAAACATTAAATCATATTGGAAAATAGTAACAAAATAAGATTATCAATTAATGTTAAAGTAAAAATTATGTATACTTATCTAGGTTTACCTACTTACCTACTTGCACAATTATTTACATGTTATTTATACATTTCCCTATACGTATATTAATTTATATTAAGAAAGTAAGGACATTAATTTAAAAACGAAAATATTACCCACATTATATATAAACATCTTAATTTCTAGTTTTTCGACCCGCTAAAAGAGGTAGGAAACTATTTTTTCTAATTATTCTTAGATCTGGACAATTATTCTTAGATTTGAAATTAATTGAAATTAATTTCAAATCTAATTATAATTATAATTATTAATAAAATTAAATCATTTCTTATGTTTTCTATTGATACCAACCATGCAATAAGTAGAAATAAATAGGTAAAGATTTAATGTACAATACTTGTATGGGTGTAATCATGCTCATGTACGTAATCATGCTAATTTTACATAAAAAAGTAATTAATATGTTGTATAGGATTAATAATTGTCAAACAAATATTATTTGTATATATGTAATTATTAATTATATAATTATGTAACGTATTTATTTGTAAGTTTTGATATTTTTTTTATTAATTTCAGTTATTTCAGATTATTTATTTTACAATAGTTTTTTAAATATTATCTTGGAACTTTCAGGAATTATCAATTACATAAATATTCATTAACTGAAATTTACATGTATATAGAAGAATTCAATTTCAACTTTTAGAAGAAAAAATCATTGGAATTAAGTAGATAAATAAGGCCCCATATGTAGGACCTTCGGGGTTGTATCTCAAAATTTTTATAATTTTACGTGTTCCAAGTGGTATAAAATGCGTTTTCGAAACGCAGAGAAAAACAAATTTTATATCCAAAAAATTTTAGATGCTTTTTGTAAAATTTTAGCGAAAAATATTACAAGTATATCTTAATATTTAAATTGACGTAACGCTGATTTTTGCATTGAATGTTTGTATAAAAAATTAGTAATAGGCGGCTAATTCTAAGGAGATTGGTAATAATATTTGTACTTTACTTATAACTAATGTCAATTACAAAAGAAATGTCGATGTCAAATCATCAAAATTTTTATACCTAAAATTTGGCAATACAATCACATTGTATCTAATTTTCGATTAAAAGACAGCATAAAAACGATTTCAAAACTTTGTTTTTGACAATATGGAATACTGCGACACTAATTAGCTCTGCAAATAAAAAAACTACTTTTTCAAAAAATTAAAAAGTAAAATAAAAACTTTTTCTTATTTTTTGAGAACAAAAAAAGAAAAATGAAGTTTGTTGAAATTTTATACCTATGGAAAATGCGTTATACAATAAACTTTTTTAAGAGAAAAAGTTTAATTTGATAGAAATTTTTGTAACGATTTCATTTTTAATAAATTTATAATTATTTTTATTAATATTGATAAGTACAATTAGAAAAACTTATTGCTGATGTGTTCAAATACGACATTTTTATCAGATTCTAAGAACTTTTTTATTATTTATCAAGTAGCTAGTTTATTTATTTATTTTCTAAAAGCGGGTACGTGGGGCTTTTTTTAATTGGATTATCTAGACTAACTAAAGTTTAAAAAAAAATTTTGTAATAGTTTGATATGTCAAATTGATAATATTGATATCATAAGTTTATAAGTAAGTAGTATAATAAAATCAGAAATATTAAATGTAGAAGGGTGGGTGAACTTATTTAAAAAGAAAATATAAAGGATAAGTGTGCGAGGAGAAAAAGGAAGAAAGGTTTTTGTTTTTTAAATTATGGAAACTAGTGAATTTCAATAACCAGCTAAATTTAGGAAAAATAAATTTTTACGTTAACTCCACAAAATTAAATATTTTATTTGGCAATTGCAGAAGAAAAATATTTAAGTACATATTGTGGAATTTAAATTTCGCAGGCTTCACATATTCTAACAAAATAATATTTTTATTCAAACAAATTTCATTTCTTAAAAAATTAGTTTAAGAAATGAGTAAGAGGAACTTTTTAACCTTTTAATTTTCTTTCAACCAATCAAAATTTTGATTAACCAAGATCATGTCACATTTATTTAAAATCCATTTTCTTTTTGTCACCGATAAATTTGTTAAAACAAACAAATTTGTATATAAAATATAGAATATATTGTATAGAAATTTATAGATAAAATCGAAAAACATTACTTAATAGAAATTTCGGATTTTAAAACTTTTACCCTTTTTATATTTTTCAAATAATCAGCTTTATCATGAATTTTGTTCGTAACCCTGAAATTCGAAAAATTAAAAATGCCATATTGTCATTTCCGAATTACTAAAATTCTGCTCCGAATATTCGTAACAGAGCAGTTATAAAGCATACGTTTGTAGTAAAAATAAATTGTAACACAGCTACCATGAATTATTTTAACTTGTCTTCTACTGAAAATATTAAAGTTTACTAATTTTTTATAAGAAATTTAAATATTAATAATATGAAGTAAATCGTTAACTTCTCATATTTTTTTGGTCTGAATTTTGTAGTTAATTGAAATAAATCAATGAACATTTTTCAATAATGCTGATTAAACTATGTTAAACGAAGTTCAATTTAGTTGAATTCGTGGTTACTATTCTGACTGCAAGATATCTTATTAGTTAAAACTGCACTTCACTGAAGTAGCGCTGCGAAAGAACCTCTGGTGTCAAAAAGCTTGAATTATATATTCTCTACTAACTGAGGATATGAATATAAAAATAGGAAAAAAACTATGCTCTTGATTTGACACCAGATCTTTTGCAATTCTACTTAAAGAAGTTCAAAAACTGTTATATTAATATTATTATATAGATAATATTATAATCGTTTTATTAAAGTATGATAGAATATATTTTTAATTTTACTAAATCAAATTTTTCTATCAACTTTTTGCACATTTAAAATGAAAAGAGATTAACTCCTTATCTAATGTATAATGTAAAAATTTTTATGCTAGAATTTTACGATATAGTTCGAGCTGCATTTAAGTTAAATTAAACATGGTTTAAATCGAGTATAGTACAAAATTAAGGAAATAAAATTTTTAATTAAATTCGTAGTTTAAATGATAATGATAATGAAAAGAAAAAAAATTAAATTCACAACTTTTTTTACTTAATACAAGTGGAACAATGTAAGCATATTGATTTTCATCATTTTGATAATGTCTGTGAAATCTGTTTCTTAAATTTTTATTTAATTATAAGTAGCGACCAATGGAACAAAAAAAAAAAAACAACGATTTTTTTTTTCTATAATAAAGTATATTAAGATTCAAAGTCATTTTTCTTAAGCGTGTGTTTATATTGAAATTAATGTCAGCGTTTAATCACTTATCAGCAAAATATTAAATTACTGAGTTTATTATTCAATATAACTACATAGCCATATACATATGTATATATATATGAAATTTATATATTTTGCTTTATTTCTTTCAAGTTTAACCCATGACTTTCTATATATGTAGAGTATTTTTTTTTATTATTGTTTTAGTAGATATTAAACCATATAAGTATAGCTTAAAGCTATTATTATAATTTTTTTTGTTGCTTGGTTTTTCTTGCCTTTTTTTTATTTTTGCTCTAACCAATATACTTAATATTGTTATATACGTATATTAAATATTATGTATTCATATATCTATTAATACTCGTATAAATAAATATTCAGATTCCATTAACATAAAATTAATAAGAATTCTAAAAAAAAAAGTTTACTATGACGTATAAATTTAAGATATAATAAGTATAATATTTGTGTTTATGTGCATATTTGCAAAATATTACAAACCTTTATTTGTCATATATAAATGCCACTTGTTTTGGTAAATATGTATATATATTTGATAATAACTGAATTTCATAGAAAAGTTTTATTTAAAATAATAATTTTTTATTCAAAATTTATTGAAAATAAATTTTATCAAAATTATATTCAAAACAATAAATGAAATTTGAAATATTTTATTGGTATACTATTATAAAATTACATAATGATGGGGACACAACGTCATGGGGAAAAATAAGTATAACATTTTTAATTATATGCA